GCATTCCTGTCGTTTTGGTCCGGAGCAGAAATTGCACGTGTGACCGCAAGTGGAGCTGCTTCGACGCTGCGCCGGAGTTGTCACGCTCAGCGGCTTTGCACGTGTGACCGCTCCACAAAATTTGCTCCGGTGTAAAATATATCGCAACAAAATATTTCGGTGCAGCGTCGGACCAAATGTGTGCCGTGTGAACAGGGCTAATGTCGCCCGCAGCGTATTTTGATGCGAACGTAACATGGTGCGTGTCAAAGTGCTGCTTTCCATGCGACTGTTTCATAGATGGTATTTTGTCATTGCAAATTAGACACACCGCAGAACCTTTTCTCTCCACAAAGGCGAATCCTTCAGTCCATTCGTCCTGAAGTGTACCATAGTCGTCATCTTTTTTTCTTTTCACCATTTTATTCGTTGAAGGATTAGCTTTGAGCTAATGACCGAGTGGGCTGATTCAAAAGGGGGCATTTACCTGTTTCCCCAGCAACGGCCTACGTTGGCCAGTTTCATCAAATTAAAATAGCTCCTGCCGCCAACTGCAGCCCTGAACAGTACGTGAGCAGTAAAAAATCGATGCATGGATTAAACAAGCAAGAATGTTTTGTTTTATCTGCGAGCCAGATGCAATCATCAAAAGAGTCACAGCTGGCTCGCGAGCCATAGGTTCCCGAGCCCTGTCCTAAATCGTCGACGGGTGGTGTGTGTGTGTGTGTGTGTGTGTGTGTGTGTGTGTGTGTGTGTGTGCGTGTGTGTGTGTGTGTGTGTGTGCGTGTGATGTTCTTCAGTGATCACCACACGATGAAAGTCAATTGGCAACGGAGGCATCACGCGGTTCAACCGTCCAGGAATTAGATTTCAGGAAAATCAACACATTGTCCCAGAATTCACGATGCCCAGGACGACCTTGCATATTTGTTAGAGTACCTTACTAAAAGAACATTAGACTTGTTGTGCTGATCTGTTTCTCTACGACACCTCACGCTCAAGACACATAAGGTCTGACGTGTCAGAATTATACTTTTTTTCCTACATAGTGAGACATGTCCGACATGCCCCCACAATTTGTACCTAGATATTGACTCGTAGCGTGATGGAGCAAAACGCCTGTCTTTCACTGACCAGCACGCTCCAGCTCATTTAACTGCCCAAAATATCAGGCAGGCGCTCCCGACATCGGAATTCGCAGAGACCACGCACTATGCGCTCGTTGTTCCTACGGACCCAAGCTCCGCCGCGGAACCTGCACCTGAGTCCCGTGGTCCTGAATGCCCACAAACTGTTTCCCTGCTGCCTGGAAACTGTTGTGCTCTTGGCCGCAGCCCGCCATGAAGGGCGGCGGTCTGCTCAATGTCAGAGGCCACTCACCCGGTTAAAGAAGACACAGGATGATTTTATGACAGAGACCGTCATGAACAACAATGAAAAATAAGTCGGGCAGTCTGAGCACTGCAAGCTCCGACAATTGGTTCGTTTGTGGCTTGTTTATTACCAATATGACATGTACAATATATGTCTGCGACTGTAATGGAATCATAGATCGTGCTGAGGGTATAAAATTTTCCAAGTGACGATATTTTGAATGGCTTTGGTGAAGTCAAATGAAGGCAATATTTGTTTCCTCTAAAATGTCTTTATTTTAGTTTGAATACTTCCAAAATTTCAAGTTGTAGCCTATTAAGAATATTTGTCTTATTACTCGTCAGCTGGTTTAAGATCATAAATGCACAGACATGAACCAACTGTAATACAGCAAGTCGCTAACAAAAATGCTCGCTACTCAAGTGAAGTCGCATTCAGGCTGTTCACACCTGTTTTTTAAAATTGTTTTATTTTAAATGAATGCCTTGTGTTGCTGATGTAAGAAATGCGAAATTTTAACTGAAGTGTGCATTTGTGTTTGAAATCACTCCAGGGAAAATGTTTTTACACAAGAAAATAGTTTGCTGCTATGCACAATGTAAATTTAATACATAAGAATTACAGATTTTATATTTTTTTTAAACGGGAACTAATTGGTGAGATTTAAAATTTCCTCTTTTGTATTTATTATAGCTCTTTTATCAAATAAAATATATATTTTATTTGAATATTTGATTACTTGATGTATTTATTTTCGTAAGATACTCAACTACAAAAATAACTAAATAGCTTCATCCCTACAACTCCTCCATTATATTGTCATACTTTTATTGTTTAATTAAACCCTTGTTTGAGGTCACCGCGATTAACCTGCAAAAAAAGAAATTGCTCCTCAAATGATGTCATGGATTAGCAAAGAAAAAAACTTCGTCTTACATTAAAAATAATTTATTTACATTCACTGTCCAAACTTGCCACTAATTCAGCATTATGAATTTCACTTTTTCTTTTCAGAGAAGACTCCTGGGTTACATAAATCATTTATTATTATTTCAGAACATACTAAAACAATCCTACACTTGTCTTGAATGCTGTTTTGTCTCACCCCACACTCTAAACGCATGAAGAAGAAACTTTTACATAGTTGGTCTAGCGCTCTGACGTGCAGAATTTGAGACTGCCTCTTGCTGGGAAACAGTACATACTGTATCATTGATGTACCGGTAATTAATAAGATGCTTGCTTTTGAGAAATTTGCCTGAAGCTTTGACAGAAAACAATAATTATGTATTCTTACAAAACGTTCTCAAATGACTGTGTCCAAGAAAACAATAATTATGTATTCTTACAAAACGTTCTAAAATGACTGTGTTACTGTCTAACTATAACACATGGAATGGTCCTCATCAGTGGCTGAATACTTTGACGACTGGTAACCATAACAACGGATTTGGATTAGCATGTGCTCCGATACCGAGTCCAACTGTTCATTTACCGACAGAGGCAAAAAAGCAATAATGCATATTTATCTCAGTATACATTTTATACACAATACAAAATGAAAGTATTAACGTTGAACATGGCAATTTTGCAAATGTACATTTAATTCCCAGAAAATTCAGGGTATGAAAATGTGTAGAAAGAGATATACATTTCTCTCAAGATTTGTCAAGAAGAGCAATACTCTCAAACTAAGTCAATGTGGGTTTTTTTTTTTTTATGTTTTTTTTTGGGAGGCGGGTGTTGATTGACTGAAAAACAACTATTTACAGTCATTAATTATATTTACATAGATGTAATCATTTGCAACAGGCACTGGTCAATGACCTTATTAAAACAAAGCTGGCATTTTAATTTTTCACAGACTTTCAAAAGCACACCATTTGTCTGATCGTTTGCTATGACACACTATGGGCCTTTAAAAAGCTACATGGTAAATACAAGACAGTTGATCGTGTATGCATTAGTAATACTCTGTTTAGTTAAATATTTAGACATTGTGGTTCATACATAAGCAAGAGATCATTTCCGAAGCAAAGTATTTAGCCAACTTTACAAACGTGTTACCAAGCTGACACAGGCACAAAACTGATTCGATGTTTGGTCTTCAGACAATAAACTCATTTCACTGAATACATTGATTTGTTGCGTGGATGTTGAACGTGACTTCCATGCGCGGCTGTAAAAATGAGGTCTCTTAGAAAACTATTCACAGCAGTTGTGTCGAGAAATTACAAAACTGAAAGAGACACCACTTGACGCTTGTTTGCTGTAAAGGACACACTCTACACACTAGTACAGTTTGGAATCTCCCTTGTGCTCTCGCGGGCATTTGCGACTCCCCCTGAGAAGACAAGAGGATACAGAAATATCTATATATACACACACACACACACACACACGCACGCACACTTGTATCAAACATTGGTAAACCATGGTAGGCACAAATTGATTGAAGAGTGACAAGTTGAATATGTGATCATCTATGACGTCTGAGGTTATCCAAAATGCACATGCAACAAGACACAAATTTAGATTACCAAAACTGGATGTGGTTCCAAATGTATTAGAACAACCCCAAAAAACTGTTTTACCAAAGTGGGGATGCTTTTCAATGAAAAAAAAAAAACATAACAACTTTAATATAATATTCATGACGCAGATTATATCCACAGATTTTTTTGATCAAGATGGCGTCAGATAAAATGCACCTTGTAAAGATACATTGGAACTAAATAACAGTTCAACTATGTAAAAATGAAAATAATTATAAGAGCAAGAAAAAGATGTTGGGATTGATAAATCCAGTTTATTGTGGAATTTTATTGTTAATAATTGATGACTGACTACCACTGTCACTTCCAGTATGTCGTCCACTGCATGCATGTACCGTATGTATAGTTGGAAGACTTGGCTATTTTGAGTAACTACAATGTCAGCCAAAACTGAGAATTTAAATAGTCTGTACTTTCTTTTGCATGTTTGTGGGAAATGTCAGGCTAAGAATATACTGCACCATATTATCCGCACTATAAGGTGCACCTAAAAGCATTCGATTTTCTCAAAAATTGACAGTGCACCCTAATCCGATGCACCTTTTGTATGGAGTTACTATCTCTTTATATTCCTCATTGAGTTGTTTCCATGTTAGTGTTCCTATGCCATCTAGTGGTTATTAGCAGGAACCAATTGTAACCTAAAAGGATTCTGCCCGACACTAACTGACGTGTATTCGCCAACACACACTCAAACAGACAACTACTTTGTGAGCTCTGCGCAGCCATTACGAAATGAACACCGAAAGCAGAGCTAACTACTGACTGAACGAAGGAAGAAGGAGACAAGTAAGACTTCTAAGGATATTTCGCCCCTTGTAGATTTGGGTCTACGAGGTTTGTGTGCCTATTTGTTGAATTAATTGTCTTCAGGAATTTTGTTCTATTCTTTGCTCCTTATAATGCAGCGCGCCCTATATATGAACAGTTTTAAAATAGGCCATTCATTGATGGTGCGCCTTATAGTGCAGAAAATACGGTACTCTGGTTTCATTTTAACATACGGTCTGTCGTTTGTTTTTACAACTCTCAACTCCGTTTGCTTCAAAGCCACTTTTTGACCTTCTGGGTGAAATGGGGGTTGAGCTCAATCAACTGAAACTGAATGTTTGTGATCCATTTTGGTGGTTGATCACTTACTTTTGACTCTTGAATCCAGTTGTTTCTCCATGAGTTCTTTGGATGAGGAGAACTCATTCAGTGTTATTTTTGGCATGTTGTCACCTTGGCCCACAGAGCTAATCATCTCTTGCTCCTTCTCCTGGTTCACCTCTGCGTATATGTTTAGCCAAGGTATTTTTCTAAAAGTTTGCCAAGAGGAGACATGCGAATTTCAGTGGGCCTAAAGTCTGGCACATGAAGAGTTAGGAAAAAAAAAAACAAGAAAGAAAAAAAAAAACAAATAAAAAACACCAGCAAACCTTCCCCTTCCACATCAAGTCCAACATCAATTCCAGGTCACAATTTTAGATATTTTCAACTTGAGAAATACTTCTCTTTAGACGAGTAGGAGGCATTCCATATTCGTTCATAATAACATTTTTTTTTTTCACAGAGAGATAACGCATGAATATCTTAAAGCTCAAATGAGGCACTTGGACTACATGATACACACTGCATCGTATTACTGATGATATTCTCAACATACTGGAATGATGCTGCCTGTGGCCTAAAGGGATATGTAAAAATCTCGTTTCCAGACTTGACCGCGAATGACGAGCCTAGACCGTGCTCCTGTGGGACCATCAATAACGGGTTATACAGGATTATAACATACACATTCGAGCTTTGTTCGTAATTCTGTTGTGAAGAAGGGGAAAGTAATCACACAAGGTTAGTACCTCTTGAATTTGTAGATGAGAAACACGGCAAGGCCAAGGAAAACCACTGATAAGAGCATGAGCATAGCAGAGCTCCTATGTCGAGGGTTGGAGTCCACCAAGGGTGCTGTAGGAACACGGAGTCATTTTACAATTGCTCCCTTACCACATCGACAGTATCGTCTTTTTATGTATTCTTAAACTATACAAATCTACAGTTAAAAATGAATGGGAGGTGAATGAATCCTGTAGAAAAACTACATTCAGGAAAATTACGATAAGGTTGATGCAAAAATCCTAACCCTGTTTAGACCAATCATCTGCTGCTGCCAAAAGTTGTAAGACTGACGCGGTCGTCCTCTCCAACATTCGCACTTCCTGAGTCAAATAAACGTGCAGCTTTCGATTGATCCTCAGGAAATCGGATTTGCACTTGAAATAAAAACGTTTAGGTCACTGTAACTTTTTGTCTCTCAGGCGCCATGAACAGTTGGTGTGGTATATTCTTTTTGCCCCACCGAACGAGCTTCAGAATCAGACAAGCAAAGCTTCATCCGGTCTGCGCATGCTCTGTCTTGATGTCAATGCATAGTGACATCATCGTTTACGCACTTTAAAATGTCAGCGTTAACTTGAGCTCCTCTGCGACGGGAGAACTTGTTTCGACGTACTCGTTTTTTTTTTTTGTTTTTTTTTAATCAAGATATTACTTTGACAAAAGTGTTAATACGATTACAGTGAAACTCCTCTACAACGAAATCATGTTTGCAGCAAGAAATTTTTGACAACAGGGGGTTTTTCACTGTAGCAAATTTGATCTCAGATGTAAGCACACACACACCCACACACATATGTGTACACACACACCCAAACGTATGTGTACTCTATTTTTATTCCAATAGTGCATAAGTATGAACACACACTTATTTGACACTTCATATTGTCAGTGTAGAAAGAAAAAAAAGGAAAAGAAATTTACAATCAGCATTCACTTTCACTTACCGGTACATCAATTTCTTGGATCATGTCTTTTATTTTGCTTCCTCCGTCTTTCATTTTGATCACTTTTACCCTCTCTTCCAGCATCAGAGCTCTTCTTGTCTTAGCTGCTTGACATCAAAAGGTCCGTTTTGTAGCCATTTTAGCAATGCAACGTCCATCCTCGTCTGAATCTAACAATAACAAATACTTCCTGACATGCAATGAACTTTTAAGCCAGCCACGGGGCGCTTCGTAGTCCTCGATGGCCATAGTTAGCTCTCGAAGGCTAAAAACCTTACGCTAACTGGAGCGCTAATGAGAGAGAAGTGCTCCAGTTAGCGTAAGGTTTTTAGCCTTCGAGAGCTAACTATGGCCATCGAGGACTACGAAGCGTCCCGTGGCTGTTTTTAGCATGATAACAAGTAAAGCATTCGAGGAAACATTCGTTTATTTGAATGTCCGTCGAGCCGTAAGCAATTTACTCTGAGCAGCTAATCGGATTTTTTTTTTTTTTTTCATAATCTTTATTGAACAAAGCTAATCGGATGCTACGGATCTAGCTTCAGTATCTACACACATAGACAGTGAGGTCCCTCTTGGCCAATCGGAGGCCAGGATGATGCTCGGTGAGCCAATGGAAGAGCGGTTATGAGTATGTTGAGTATAGGAAACTCGCAGCTGTGACCGAAATAAACATCGTTCACTATGTAAACCAGTGTGGTGGTTGCTGTTGCCTTTTTTCGAACGAAGCAGTAGAGGTCGCTGTTGGATAAGACTTCGTTGTAGTGAATGGCTTCGCGAGTCTGGAGCAGAGAAAATGATTTCGTAAAACGCAACAGGGGGGTTTTCGTCGTATGGGGGGCAGGAGAATGGGAATTGTGTTAATGCATGAAGATTTTTTCACATAAGGGGGTATTTTCGCCCATGTAGGTTTCGTTCTAGAGGAGTTTCACTGTATAACTACTGTGCTAAATAGACAAATGAACGTGTCTGTCACGTGGCTGTGACACAAGTGATTTCATTCACGGAGTGGAGCATGTAAACCACAGAACGGAATAGCTCACGTCACATGTAAACAGATGACCGGAGATCTTTTAAGTCAAAATGATTTCAATCAGAATGACCGAAAAGTCGCCTTGTAAACATGACGATTGATTATTGCCCAAAGTGATCAAATAATGCCATTCTCGGAAACAGCCACAGACATACAAAGTGATGAAACCATTGTATATTCACAAAACACAGGGGCTGACCAATCAACAATGGGAGAATCATGAGCAAAAAATGTCATAGGAGACCATGCATTGATGTTGATAGAAATCATCAATCATCAGATCACTGGAAACTTCAAAATGCAGAGATAGCCCCTAATTATTTACCTTTAATAAGACCTCATATATATAAACAATCAGTGATTACCAGATCAAAATCATGTCTCTATTTGCAAATGTTAGGTCAACATTTTCACACGGATATGTCAGTACAAAAACTAACAAGTAAAGAAAGATTTTTCCTCACCTTCGACATAATCAATGATGATTTTTATTACTTTTTTTTAGCAAAGACTTCAAAGCTGTGCCGGTATTGTTAAAAAAAAATAAAATAAAAAAAAAACGTAAATCTAACAAAAAAAAAGGGAGCTTTTATCAATGGCGTCATACACGGGGGATGACAGGAAGTGTTTTCCGCATCCCTAAAAGTAAAGACTTTGCAAGGGGTATCTCTGCCACTCGCTGAACGATGTGATTCCTTGTCAAATGGTGGTCACCAAATCGACAGACGTGAACGTACCAACTACAAGACAATTTGAATCCAAATCTTGATCCGTGTGTGTGCCGATTTCGTTAGGTAGTACTGGACATTGAAATGAAAATAGTATGCTAAAATGATGGTATCCTTTGGGACTTATGAAGAAATTGGATTTACTTCAATATATAAATGTATATACAGGTATGTTACACATGAATGAATGGGGAGGAGGTTTGACAGAGCTTCCTCATCTTTTCAAGGGGCCAGGGGGGTGAAAGGACTGCCAGTGAAGGGAAATCAGGAGAGAGACTGCAGACTGCAAGTGTACAAAATTACTAAGTTTAAAAATAGAAATTGTATTTGATTTTGCATGAAGGGCCAATAATATTTTGTGAAACATGAATGGATTGACCCGGTGATCGACTGGTGAGCATGTTGGCCTGACAGTGCGCAGGTGCAGGGTTCGATTCCGGCTCCAGCCTTCCATATGTGGAGTTTGCGCGTTCTCCCTGTGCCTGTGTGGGTTTTCTCCGGGTATTCCGGTTTCCTCCCACATTCCAAAAACATGCGTGGCAGGTTCATGGAACACTCCAAATTGTCCCTTGAGTGTGAGTGCGGATGGTTCATCTATGTGCGCCCTGCGATTGGCAGGCAACCAGGTCAGGGTGCCCCGCGCCTCCTGCCCGAAGACAGCATGCCTCTCCACCCTTCTGAGTATAAGCGGATCAGAAAATGGATGGATGTTGGATGGATGGTGTGTGTTCATTTCAAGTTTAAATGTGACAGTGTAAAATATGCTTGGAAGTGAAGAGCATTTTATTTCTGGGAAAATGTTCTCTTCTGAGAGGGTCCATGTCGGTTTCCGCAAGGGGCCACTCATTTGTCTGCTTCAGGACGCATCCGCAGAGGCCAGGCGTACAAGGATGAGCCATGAACGTGATGCGGTGCTGGGATGGAGATGCAACCAACAAGACTGAGCTCCTTGGCACACTGCAGTTGGGGAACTATAAAGGCAAAGGTTTCCGGTGGATCTTTCAGAATAAAATGGGTTGCAGCTGATCTGCTTTGGTGCCCGGCAAAGAGTAGCTGGAAAGCGGTCTGGGACTCCATAGTGCACGCCTATGCAGGTTTCATCCTTCAGAAGCGGTGCACTTCTAGCACCAAAGTGTTCTGCCTGCTGTGTTACCCGTGACAGCAGCAGTCCCAAGCCGCTTCAACGCATATGTCGGGGAATCTGCTCTGTTTTTCCTCTTTGTTGGTTTATGCAGTTTGTTACACACGTTTTTCAATAAAATTTTAGTCATCTGCTCTGATGCTGTAAAAGTTGTCCGGTTACATTTTTTCGGACCGAGTGCAAGGCCCAGAGGATCCAGCAGAAGCATTCATCTACGCAGCAGGCGCCTACCGGTCAGCCCTCCCCCAGGCAGAGACTGAGCTGATTAATGCCGCATCTGCATGTGTTGAAAGCGTGAGGTCATTTGGATGTGAAAGAGAAGTTAACCCTTCCAGAGACAGCGGTTACTACAGTGGCCAGCTTATCCTGTTATCAGGTTACAGGTTCTCATTATTGGTGCATGAAAGGGTTAATTGAATTAATATCAGTGTTGTTTCAGCACAATGTCTGGTGTGGTTTTGTGTTTGGTAATTTTGTGTTTCAACACTGTTTTCTCTGACTCCGACACCAACGCTGCTGCCGCCCTGCCCACCGTGCAGTGCTCAAGAAGAGTGGCCGGGGGTTCTTCATGGAGCACGCATGCTGGACGTCAACGAAGACGGCCACCTCTGATGTCTTGCTGGATAAGCAACGCAGACAGAAGGAAAATCCTGTCGCTGGTTGACGTGGCTTACGTCGCCATGGTTCTGTCACACTGTGCCCAACAGACTGCTTCTCCCCACCACCGAGTTCCATTTATCCCGCGATGTGAAGCAGACGGAAAAGCTCTTGAACTTGAGTTCTTCCATGAACACCGGCAGAGAATGTGTTCTTGACTCTAAACTCTTGTGGCATTCTCTGACCGAGGATTTCAGTGGTGAAGATGACAAGAGCTGTCTTCAATCTGCCCGTGCCGGCACGGCATCCACAGCTACCCCCTCCCCTTAACGAGAGACTCCATAAGTAAAATCATAGATGAGGTCTTGGATAATCTTGGAGATCCGTCCGGCCTGTAGACTTGCCTAAGAACGGATGGCTCGGCCGTCCACTACTTTTGCCAGGTAAGGTCCAACAAGTTAGTTTTTCTGCTCTAAAACGGTCCTTTGCGTACACCTCATTGCCTGTGTATTTTGTGTGTGTGTTTGTGAATACTGTAAAATGGAGTGTGTGTGTGTGTGTGTGTGTGTGTGTGTGTGTGTGTGTGTGTGTGTGTGTGTGTGTGTGTGTGTGTGGGCGGGGGGGGTAACATTGGACATTCTCTATGGGTGCAATGTTCTTTTATATGTTCATTCGTCAAAGGGTTGGGATCCAAGGAAACGAGTCAGGCAAAGTGAATGTTGTGTGTGAATAAAAATGTTTGTTTCAACTTAAATTGCAGTTCATTTTGTTTTCTTTTTTCAACGCAGTCAGTTTTCATGATGTACAATAAAGTCTAATATAAAGGCACTTAATGAAAATGAAGCCTCCGATTTAGGCAACTAATCACAATAAAGTCTCGAATTAAGTCGAACTGAAGAATAAAACATTAAGAAACTGTTTATGCATGTCTATAAAATGAATCAGCATATTTGCTCGAAGATCATAAAACAATAGAATGGCACATTGCTTTAAAAGATTCATTCTCCCAGAGTATTTGGAATTAAATGATTTTCATCGTATTTATATTACCTTTCAGGGACAGCTGTTACAACAGTGGACAGCTGATCATGTTATCAGGTTACAGGGTGCATGAAATGATTAATATTACCAAATAGCTGCGACAAATACTCTTGTACTTTCATGCCATCAATTTCTGATTAAAACTGAATTTAGAATGCTCACGTATCAATATTTGAACAATTTAGGCACTTGGGGGACATTTAGTTGAGAATCAAACTGACACATCCAAAGCATGAGATTCCTCTCAGGTGATTCTCGTTTAACCCAAAGGTTCAGCATCAGCGCTATCCACGGCTCGCCTTCACGAGCCGACGGCATTTATTTACTCAATTGCCAGATGTCCAAATCACCTATTTGAAAGAAGGCATTACAGGCAGATGTTTATTTGCGCAGATGTTAGCCAACATGCTTCACATGCACACTTTGTCGTCGTGTGTTCCGTTATTCTTGGTTCCTATGAATAATGCGGTGCAGTTGCAGGCCTGACGAATTCCGTTCTTTATTCGCGGTCACGTTTTGATGGACGGACCTGCCCGAATAGTATGATTAAAGCAGATGATCAGTCCTGGAGAAGGCATCATATGTTTGTTAGTCAGGCTCCAGTTGGGCAGAGTTAAAATGTATATAAAGTGCAGCACACCATAAAAAAAGTATTTTGACTTAAATATTTGGAAATAAGAAACATTGACTTTTTAAAACTCTGAACTCTGCGTTTGCTCTCCAGAGCTTAATCATCTTATCTCGTAATCAGCGACACAGTATTCACATTGCTGATTACCTAATGGTCTGATAATAACAGAAGGGAAACAAAAAGAAAGAAATTAAGATGGTGAAAATGAGATGAATCAAAAACAACAACAAAAAAGAAACAAGAAATCTCTTACCCAATGTTAGCTGTGTGTTATATACGATCACCCTCACGCCAGGCTTCAGCTCAAACTCCACCAGATTCTGGTTCAGTGCACTGACAATGATGTTCGAAATCTGTTTCGAAAACGCAGCAGGGTTTGAAATCAGAACAACATGGTTTGATCTCATTTGATCAACTTATTATGAAATAATTAGCACTCATACTTGGTCAAGTTCCTCCTCACTCTTTTTCTTGTCATGTGACTGGTTCTTGTGTGGTAAGAGGAAAAGCTCAGCGGCAGTTGGAACTCCGGGGAACACAGCGACCAAAAGCTGTTCTTCTGGGAACTCGGCCACCTATATCAAAGCAAGAATAAGTAATGCAGACTGCAAACCAGTCTCGAGAAAGGAAGATACATTTTATGAAGCAACTGTGTCGTGCATAGAACTCATCATTTCCTGTCTTTTCTTGAAATGTTTGACAAATCCAAATGTAATACCTTTGAAATGAACATATAAGAGCAGCGATGCATTTCTCACCATCCATATGGATGGATCATGTACTCATATAATAAATAGACACAAAAGAAATGCTCAAATGCTCACTGTTGTTGCTTTTATCCTCATCATATATTCCCTCCTATTCCAATCATTTTATAAACTGAACTCATCATAACAATGTAAGATTACGTTTCAGTGGTGAACAATCCTGAGTCTTTGGTGAGTTATTGTTGTTTTTTTTGTTTTTTTTTCTCTAACAAGGGCAGACATTGCAGCAACGACAAAGGTACATCAATTGTGCAAAACAGAAATTAGCCTCTCAACCAAGAAATTGGACGGACGATAGGAGAGGGCATTACTCTAAAATGATAAATGAAGTGGAGGGGAAGACCGGGTCAACCGATGGGGAAAAAAACAACAACAAAAAAAAAAACATTACCTGTGATTGCTGGATTTGTTTTTTTTTTCTTCCAAGATGTCACAGTCAACTCGACTAGCTGTACAAATTGGCGATGTGTAAGCAAAAAGATGACTTACTGTCAAAAAGGCCAAAAGTTGTGCATAGGCATTTGACCTCATTCACAAATGAACGTGCAGAAATGCTGTAATTGTGCGCACACATTTCGTGTATACACACAATCCCTTTTAGAGTAATTGCTGGGTAGGAGACTCAGTCTCTATTGCTGGTCCTGGGTCTTCCCCGGGGGGTCCCCCCGCTTGGTACATGTCGGGGACGCCGTCCCAGGTAGGTGTCCAGGATTCATCTTAACCAAATGCCTAAGCCACCTCGTCTGGTTCCTTTTGATGCGCTGGAGCAGTGGCTTGACCCGGATTAACAGTTTCTCACACTATCTCTACGAGAAACTCTGGAAACCCCACGGACCAAAATCATTTCGGCCACTCGTATCCGGGATCTTGTTCTTTCGGTTAAAACCCACAGCTCATGACAAACAGGTTAGGGTAAATGGAGAGTTTTGTGTTTTGGATCATTTCCTTCTTCACCATGTCAGACTGATACAGAGTCAGCATCACAAAGCATCAGCATCGTCATCGTCAATGCCTCGGCTGCACCTCGAAAATCTATCCATTCAGGTTATGATCAGAAGGTGCCCTTTTCTTTGCATTGTTCATGACAGAACGAACTGGCCAAAATATGGATCCAGCAGACTCAGGCCCATTGTGTAACGCGCTCCAAATGCGGAGCCAGCAGCTCACTAGGCAAGATGAGCCGCTTCGTGCGCTCAGTTTGAATATGAGAAAAATTGACCGACATAAGAATTTGATGGTGAGACAGGTGCACTCATGCTTAGATATTACAATGAACATACTACAGAAAAAGAGCACATTTACAGGTTGTAAAAAGCACAAATGGATGAAAAATTTACTCCCACTGTTTGGAATTTTGGGGGCAAAAAGTTGTGTCAGTCTGGATGTCTGATTGCTTTTCATTGTTCGACAGCGCCCTAACAGAAAGAACTAACTGGAAACAATGGTCTCCAAAGTGGGGTGTGTCCAAGAGAATTTTGCCTGGATTTGGCTTGATTCTTGTGGTGTGCAAGTTCTCAAGAGAGGGTACGGTAGGTACTGATGATCCTCTCTGCAACACTAACTGCCCGTTGCAGTTGGGTTTTGTCCTTCTTTGAAGCAACACCAAGACAGACTGTGATGGATGAACACAGAACTGTTTCAGCGACTGCTGTGTAGAACTTCCCCAACTGCTCCTGTGACAGGCCGGGTTTCCGTAGCACCTGAACCAAGAATATTCTCTGCTGGGCCTGTTTGAGGATGGAGTTGATGTTGGCCTCCAACATCAGGTCCTGAAAGACTGAAATCCCCAGGAACAGGATAGTATCGATGGTTGACACCGTGTTCATAAGCACTTTGAAACAGTAATTCATGCCTTCGTCACAACCCGGCTGGATGAATGTAATGCACTTTACTTTGAATCAGCCAATCCTCCATTAAGCGTCTCCAGTTGGTCCAGAATGCTGCTGCTCGCCTCTTGACTGGTACTCGCAATAGGGAGCACATAAGTCCTACTGTGGCATCCCTTCACCGGCTCCCTATACGTTTAGGAGTTATTTTTAAGATCCTATTATTTGTTTTCAAATCTTTAAATGGCCTCGCTCCACCTTGCCTCTCTGAGCTAATCCGCCCCTACACACCTGCCCGGTGCCTCAGGTCTGCGGACCAGACATTATTTGAGGTACCAAGAACAAAGCAGAGGTTCAGAGGGGATCGAGCCTTTTCCGTTGCTGGTCCCTCTCTTTGGAATGACCTCCCACTGAACATCCGGCAAGCTCCCTCGCTGCCCATCTTTAAAACTCATCTCAAAACCCATTTGTATTCTTTGGCTTTTGACTCAGCATGACTCAGATTTGATCTTAGTTTTACTGTTTGGTGCCTTCTACCATCTTTGTTCCTGATTTATTGCTTTATTGTTGTATATATGATATTTGCTCCATGTACAGCACTTTGTATGCAGCGGTGGTTGTTATAAAGTGCTCTGTAAATTCAGTTGAGTTGAGTTGAGTGTTGGGCAGCTGTGGCATAGGATGTTTCCTGAGGTCATAACCGTCTGTAGAGTTGTAAGGGTGCTCAGTTCCAGGTTGTGTTGGCTGCTCCAGAGCACCAGCCACTTCATTTCCTGTCGATATGCAGAGCTGTCGGTGTTGTCGATGAACCGATGACTAATGGTCTTTGTAAGATGTGCGTGTGAGCAATTGTGGACCGCTCTGGCCCTCTCAGTGAACAGCAAATGTATGCAGCACGTATAAAAGTTCCAACCTGAGATGCGTTTGCACTCTGAATTTTCATCTTCTCCTCACATAAAGAAATTGAAAAGTTTTATTTGACACGTGGTTGAGGGTGCGGAAAAGAAATATCTGATCAAAAAAAAAAAAGACACGAAATGCTCAGTGATCACCCATGTCTTGTAATCATTGTCAAGCCACCCCGAGGTTAATTTTAACTGTTCGGGGGTCTGTCATGATCCTGTTCTTGTGTTTCTCCAGCAGGTGGCAGTGGAAGGCTTCTCTTCCAGCGTGCACACCTGCTGCCAATTGGTTCATCTTGATGAACCCATGTCTCTCGACGGATTATTGACCTTGCTTGACATTTGCTCAAAAGATATTTTCTAGGCGCCACATTCATGTTTATAGTCGCTCTTGCTTTGATAGATTATTGTGTTGTAAGTAATTTGGATTTCTTGTTATTACTGGATGATTAAGTTTTGTGGAGATGGACTTTTGCCATTTTGTTTTGTGTATTTTTCAGGATTCAAGATTACCTTGCCATTTGCAAGGTTTTTTTTTTTATTTTTTTGTTTTTGGGCTTTTCCTTGTTCTGTGTTGCCAGCGCTTTGTGTATATAATTTGTCGGTCCTTTGTTTTTCTCTAAGTAAATCTTATTTTGTTTGAGTCTACGTTTGTGGGGTCTGTTTACGGATCGTGTCAGAATAACCCGACCATGGATCCCATAGACCCAAACAAAATTAGGACCCATGGTCCAGTCTTCCTTTCCTGAGTTTGTTGCCGAGTTACGTCAGGTGTTCCACCACCCAGTCGGGGAAGAGAGGCTGGAGGTCAATTATTAGATTATAGGCAAAGTAGGCAATCAATTTATTTCTTTATATCTGATTATTCCAATGCTTTTTGTATTTTGGCCGACGAAAGCAGTTTTAATGACCGCGGCTTATGCACCATCTCCCAGAGCTCCTCCCTGAATGATGAGCTTTCAGACCGCGACGACACCACAAGCTTGGAGGAAATCATCAGTCTAGCAAACTTGGAGGAAATCATCAGTCTAGCCTTTCCAGATTGGGTCAGGGTCATACATGCCTTCTTTACGGTGATATTAATGTACTTTACTAACAACATTTCTCTGGCTGGGTCTCGGACAGGTTGAAAATGAGCAAAATTAGATGGCAGATGGTTGCAATTAGTTTGAGAACACAACAATCGCAGACACTGCATTGTTTAGTGTTCGCGCATTCCAATCGTCATCTAGTCAATCCTCTCAAAAGTCTCATATCACTGATCGAGGGAAAGAGGCCTTGATGCTGAGTGACAATGTCTCTCCACAATGAAAGCATAATACTGTGATGCGCGTAAAAGTGTCGATGGTCAATGTGTGCAGCAATTCACACGAGTTCTGGCAGCTCCAAGGTGGCTAATACGAGTCGCGAATGATCAGACTTTGGCTGGCTCATTCCAGGGCGAGTCATTTGGAGGATTGTTAATTGTAAATAAAATTTGAGGCACAGGCCGTGGCCAGAGAGGACTGAGTTTTCTCACAGATCTGTTTATTCATGTACTACTGTCAGATTATAATGACAGTTTGAAGTATGACACAGTGTTAATATTCAAACTGTGCATGTCTTGTTTTTGATGAACACTTTGGCCTACTATGCTACTGTATTTTTATTTTGGTCGTAAAAAACACTCGTCCACAGTATTCATCGATGTCACTTCTACCGTAACAGGCTAATTGTTGTAAGATTCAGGTGAGCCTTATTCCCTTGCAATTGACACAGTTGCAAATTGTTTCTAGTCAGAAGTTGCTGTTCAAAATATCGTGACTTCTCACACATCGACATTTCAGTCGGGAACGTGTGCGCACACACCCGCACGCAACCACACCCGCACGCACACACAGTAGAACATAAATAGGTCCTTTCTAAGCTCCCATGCTCAGAAGTTAGCAGATCACTGTGTGTGACTTTTAAAATTAATGAATTAGAGCTCATGAGTCAATTTCCTGAGGGAGATGGGAAGCAGAGACGTCTTCACACCTGTCTAATGATGAATCACAAGGTGGCCTGAGGGTCTTCTCTTGCCACACCAATGACTTCAGAGTATTGGACAGCACAGTTAATAGGGATATAGGAAATAATCGAGAAAAAGCTAGACAAGGAGTCATCTAGCCAATACGAAGATAGAAAAGGAAGAATCAAAAGACAGTGCGACAGGAGAGGTGGAAGGAAAAGGAAGAGGGCATCATTGAGCAAATGAAAATAACTCACTTGGAGAACAGCCTTCTTAACTACTCTCCCCACATCCTGCCTCCACTCGGATAAATCAGGGTTGAACTCATCCAGATTTGGCGAGAATGACAAAAGAAGAGATTTGAAGAAGTCTGTCAAGGAGAGACAGGAGAGAACGGCTTTTAATTCGCTTGAATATAAAGGCGATGCTCATTTTTCAAAGTCGAGTCCTGCCACCGATCATTTGGTTGACATTCTGTCTGAGGGTTTTTCATATCGCAGGCACTACTTTTGGGCCAAATGCACACAGATTAAAGCTAGTCAACATTAAAGCAGTACTGTCTGCTGATAATAAATCTTCCTTGTTCACAGATACCTGTCATTAGATCGCTTAATTCCAGATAAAGACATCCAATAATATGTTGTGGTTGTCAGTGTAAATGCTTTTCATTGTTTTAAACCCTTAAAGTTAGGAGGGCCCACCGAAGGGCCCTCCGTCATCTGTCAAAACAAATCGCTGATGTACGTCGTCAGCTGAGTACAAGATGTGTTATACATCTTTTAAAAGCTGAGTTTCTGGAGATTTGCATGGTATCCTACATGTTATAATTGTCGAATTTGAACCAGAACTTGGGGAGACCTTAAGCTTTGATCCTGTTGTGTTTTCAAGTCCTAATCAACATTCTAAATCAATTTTCAAGGCAGATTTTGTGAAAAGAAATTCGACGAACATAAGATTCACCTTTTTTTTTTTCTGTTTTCGAACATTCATAGTTCAGTGACAGGAGCACTTAAACAGATTCTTACTGTATGGGAGAAATACTGATAATGATAAAATTTTTGGTCTGTATGGGAGAAATACTGATAATGATAAAATTTTGAATATTTCAAAAATAGACCAAAACTATGCTGATACTCCAAATGGTTCAAGAACAGCTACAAATTTACTTTGGGTGCACCTTTCCATAGGCGTTTTTTGGCAAAGTTGCCCTCGGTTTAAGGGGAAAAGAATTGACTTACCTCTAACCGCTATGGTTTTGGTATCCTGGAATATGAGGTTGGCTGCAGCTACTTGAACTGTGAGAGAATACATTCCCTCATTGGGAAATGTGTATGAGACACTGCCATCCAATGTGACCATTGGCTGCACACAAATACAGAGATCTCAATCAATGCATCACTGTTAGTATATTGTACATATCACATGTTTTAGGTTTTGTATTGTCCCCCCCGTGGAACTTATCCTCAGGTATAGGTTCCGTGGAGTCTTCACTGCGTGTTTATGTTTTTGCTCTGCTGAGTGTCTATCAAAAACCTCAAGCTAACAAATGATGGAGGTTTTGTTATTGCTTGGCACCTGACAAGGGGCTTTGCGACACACACATGGAAGCAGTGCGTGCGTGCGTATGTTTGTGTGTGTGGCAGGGCGGGGTGTAAAAAGGAAACATCTTGGTCTCATTTTTTATTTCGCTATAACCTGGCATTTGAACAGAGGCATGCAGACCTTTAACAGCCACTGTCTCCACAACCCCTGTGGATGGTTTTACTAAAAAAAATAAATAAATACATAAAATAAAGCTTGCAAAGAGTTACCTCTGTGTTGTTACCAAGCCACCAGAAATAGGTAACTGTGCGTGGGTGAGTGGGCAGGACAACTGCTGAGATGTTAACTTCCTTGTTTCTTATGACGACAAAGGGAGAGAGAAGCTGGATATGCTCCACAGGACCTACGACAAGAAGAGTTCAAGGGAGTAAATTAAATATAAACTAGATGGTCTGAAGCTAATTTTGAGGATTAAAAAAAAGAGGTTTTAGTATATACAGTACGTTTAATTGCAAATTGAACACACAAAAAAAAAAAAAAAAAAGAAGTTTGTCCGCTCAGTGCTTCAAAAAGAAAACCGACCATAATTTTGGTGTAATGTTCAGGTGTTCCAAGTTTCTTGGTTTTGTGAATGATGGAAGGTGGAACAATTTATGTATTTGGGAAAAAAAAATACTCTGAGAAAATTAAAATACTTTGCACTATGACTAGGCGGCCCGGTGACCCAGTGGTTAGCACGTTGGCCTCACAGTGCAGCGGTGTGGAGTTCGATTCCAGCTCTGGCCTCCCTGTGTGGAGTTTGCATGTTGTCACCGGACCTGCGTGGATTTTCTCCGGGAACTCTGGTTTCTTTCCAAAATGTTGGATGTTTATTTGAAGACTGTCAGGTTTATAATATGATTTGACAAATATACACTTACAAAAAGGAAAATAGGAGTAAAAAGTAATTGTCATGACTTGAAATGACTGAAAATGTCCAGCACATTCCAAAATTCCAAAATCATTGTAACAAAAAAAAAAAATGTTGAAAGTGAAACATTTTTATGTTTCTCCATACTAACTCTCGCTGGAGCATGGGGAGGGCGTGGGGGCTAATGGTGTGTGTTGATGTTAATGCGCTTCCTTTTTTCACCGCCATTATGACTGGATTCCACAGATATGGGATACTGTATACTGGACCAAAAATAGCATGTTTGAGAGACAGTACTAAATGGCAAGAACTTGTTCAAGTAAACGATCATTGATCTGAATAGGTACGATACCATGTGCTCATTTTGAGCCTAATATGCCTCACAGACTTGATACCATTTATACTGACACATTGCTATTATGTACATAATGACAAAGCCACTTAAGATAAGAAAACCTTTATTAGTCTCGCAATGGAGAAATTCCCAATTCACAGCGGCAAAGTTAGGTTCAACAGCACCGATCTCTCCGCTGAACAAAGCGGGGCTGTGAAAATGCTGCCCATTACAGGCGCAAGACACAAGCGCCCCCGGAGCTGTCCAGCAACGACAGTCAAATGGCGCCGACATTCCTCCCAATCAAAAACAGTGCTGGCATACCCATGCTGCCGAGAAGGCAAAACCACCAAGCACCGAGTCTCCTCCTTGATGAATGTCGTGGCCAAAAAATGCTGAAAACAGTCCACATCAAGTCCACACGACGTAACAACAAACACAAAGTGACAAAACAAACAGAAAAACAACAAAAAAAGCAAGGCTCACAAGAGCACTTGCCGACGGCTGCCTACTCGGGCGCCATCTTGGACTTCAAGACTTCAGGACAATCACAAAAAATACCACCTGCAAACTCTTTCTTCTCTCAAGCAGTATGAATCTTGTGAATATGTTGTCAGAGGCATGAGCGGGATGACTTTTGTGGAATCCATACTGGTGTTCGTACAGTATCTGATGTATGTTTAAGTGTTTAGAAATGCATTTTATAGGAGTTTTTCGAACATTTTCAAAACGTGTGGAAGAACTGAAATGGGATGGGATTTGTTTAAAAAAAAAAAAATAAAAATCGCCTGACTTACAGACCTTTTCCAGTCTCTAAGTCTGCTTCTATGGATAATGAAAAAAATGTGTGATAAGGGTATCAGAATTAATTCCTTAACTACTTTAACAAGACATGCAGTAATTCCATCATGACCTGCAGCAGAATTATTTAACTCTCTTATCTCTCTATCCCTGCTATTAGGACATTCAAAATGGTCAACTGATGGAAAAGAGATTCTGAGATCCTCGCGTGAAACACGCACACATAGCAGTGTTTTCTTTTTAAAAAAAAAAAAAAAAAAAAAAAAGAAAATCGCCTGACTTACAGACCTTTTCCAGTCTCTTAAGTCTGCTTCTATGGATAATGAAAAAAATGTGTGATAAGGGTATCGGAATTAATTCCTTAACTACTTTCACAAGACATGCAGTAATTCCATCATGACCTGCAGCAGAATTATTTAACTGTCTTATCTCTCTATCCCTGCTATTAGGACATTCAAAATGGTAAACTGATGGAAAAGAGATTCTGAGATCCTCGCGTAAAACACGCACACATAGCAGTGTTTTTAAGTAAAAACAGAAGGTGTCAGTAACTATAGCAAAGTAAGATGGCTTCCCTC